ACTCTCAGACATTATCGTGAAATACAATACATTCAGTTCTTATTCCTTCCAATTGAACCCCGGATCACCCTTCATGATCATACCCTCATACGTAAAAACAAACACCACATATCACACTAATAACTCTGTTAAGAAACTCATCGTCTGTAATCAGAACCAACGGCGAGCAAATAGTGTAATTTTGAAACTCAAAAATTGTGTTTTAATTGCATTTCTACGAAACAGGACAAAATTAACATAATCAATAGCCTACCTAAAATAACACATATCACACTAATCACTTTGTTAAGGAATATAGCAAAGTTAGTTGATGCCTGAAGCACAATATTATTCAGAAAAATCCAAAATAAATGACGGATGATATAAATTTAAAATAAATGGTCGAAGAAAGTCAACATTTAAGAATATTGGTAAAGAATCACATATATTGAAAGATTATGAACAGATTAAAAAAATAAATGAATCACATTAATCAAGATTCTTCTAGTATTTTCGCGCACGTTCTCCTACCCAGCGAACTGCAAGGGTAAACTCGTCATAGCGCACCGGAATAAGGGAAATCACATTGTTGTGTGTTTTATTTGTGTAATTGGTGCATTATTAACCTTACCCGGGTGTAATTGTAGATTCCCATTGGTGCCAAGTTCAGGTGCGGCAACGCCTTTCCGTGTAGTCAGTACGGCCGCACCAATTGTTATACAAATATACTCCATCCATGTTATGAAATGCATAGGAAAAAATATACACAAATTAGGTACGCATCACCAAAAATGTGCCATTAGATATGAATAAATACATCATACAGTGTTCGGGAATACTCTATTGGTGTGTTTCACTGCGGTGTATTTTATTACACTATTGGTGCATGTCGTCAACACTGTTGGTGTATTCTAGAACCCGGCCGCTATAAATGGCCACTGTAATTACCATAACAGACCTACTTACCAAAACGCGCGAAAATCAACAAATCCTCAGAATTAGCCACTACCGTTAGATTAAACTGATTCAGCGACACAGATACGACCACACCGCCACACCTAATGAAATGACCACATATGTATTTATATATATACATATATATATATATATATATATATATATATATATATATATAATTCCAGAAATGGTCGTTGGCAATTTATATCATGCACCACGGTGCACATAGCAATGTGCGCACAGTCACAAAACGCGCGCATTGTAATTGCTGACGTCACTCCGTCCGTCCAAATGGCCAAAACCCCATTATGTGTATTCAGTTAAAAGTTTATGTGTATTGTGTTATGAGTTTCTGTGTATTCAGTTAAGAGTTTCTGTGTATTCAGTTAAGAGTTTATGTGTATTCAGTTAAGAGTTTCTGTGTATTCAATTAAGAATTTCTGTGTATTTCGTTAAGAGTTTCTGTCTATTCAATTAAGAGTTTCTATGTATTCAGTTAAGAGTTCTAGTGTAGTGTGTATCATGTTAGATTATATGTATTTAGTTATGAGTTTCTGTGTATTCTGTTATGAGTTTATATGTATTCGAAACATATGATGTTTTTTGGACAATGCACCAAAACGACGTCGTTTTGGGTAGGGCGCGGCACACAATGCATTGTGCGCCCTAGTGCACGATATAACGATTGCCTTGACTATTGATATTTACCAATTTTTATTCTTTGACTTTCAATTGGACCATAAATGGTTCCTTAACTATTGATTTTCACTAATTTTCATCCTCAACTTTCAATATGACCATAAATATAATGTTCCCTAGACTATTGATTTTGTTCCAAATTTGGTCCTTCAGTTAAATATCAATTTAATAAACATTAAATTTAAGAATAATAATGTAAAAATTAGATTGTTGTTGAGGTGCACAAATTGAGTTCATAAATTTAATACATTGAGTTTATAATTCTGAAAACTACATTTTTATATTATTACCCTTAAATTTAATGTTTATTAAAATGATATTTTACTAGAGGACCAAATTTGAAAAAATTTAATATTCAATGGACTACTTATGGTTAAATTGGAAGTCGATGATGAAAATTGATAAAGATCAATAATCAATAGACCATTTATAGTCCAATTGAAATTCGATGGATAAAAATTAGTAAATGACACTGCTCTTTCTTGTAATTCTTTTACTTCTTCGTTTGGTTTAAGACTTGGTGATATTAAAGAATTGGCATCCGTGATTGGCGATGTCGAATTCAGTTTTGCTAGGCGATCTGCGAATCGTGCCGCCCATATTGTTGCTCGGGAGGCCTTTTCAGTGTCAGATTGCGGGGAGTGGTTTGATACACCGCCCTCTTTTCTTTGTTGAATGTCTAGTTGACGATTTAATGAATTAATTTCGTATCTTCAAAAAAAAATTATAAAATAACAATAGTAAAAACACCATTCATGAAACCAAAATTAACTACTATATTTCGAAGCTTCCGATCTTCAAATTGCAACGAACCTTCAAAATTCATTGTTATTCCAAACTTCTCCAATAATTACAGGATAGAAATAGCGAAGTTTTAATATAATTTGAAAAACTTCTAAAATAAAGTAGTTTTGTCAAAATACGTCAACACCAAAAATACATTGATAGTGAAATACTGTTACATTAATAGCTGGCATGATATTTAAGGTACAAACCAACAATTAAGGAAATACACAACTTTATTCTTCTCTCAAATACTGACTACCAAATGGATCAGTAGGTTAAGTCTATGCGCCCAATAGACGACATTATTGATCCCTGATCATGCAACATGAAACATGCATACTCGATCTTCATTTGAATCAGCGGCCTCCAGAGAGAATGGAGTCTGTGCTTAAGGAACAACGTGAGCACGTCTTGTTCCCGGATGATGATGAAAGTGACACAACAAAATCATCGAAGCCTTGACCTTGAGCAATTGTCAAGCCAGCAATGGAGAGACTAAGAGATGATAGTTCCGGTGGAGCTATAGAGCCCTCTAAATACATAACAACTTGTTGCATGCTTGGCCTAAACGTTGGCTCCAATAGAGAGCACATTAATCCAAGCTTTAAAACCAACTCGACTTCTTTTACAACATAATCTTCCCCATGAGTAGGATCAACAACATACAGAATTTCACTTATATTCCACCAAGAAAAAAACCCATTCCACCAAAACGATATCGTCATTGGGTGCTTGTGGTTCAATGGGCCTTCTGACACACGTAACTTCAAGCAAGAATGCTCCGAAAGCAAAAACATCAGTACGTGCTAGTTGTGGCCTTGCCCGTTTTGATGTGCTCTGGTGCGAGGTAGCCTAGTGTTCCAACTACATGTGTAGTTTGTGGATCCGTTCCATGGTCGTACCTCTAAGGTCTATACTCCACTTCCTAGTCTTCCAGCAACTCTGAGAACTTCTTCTTCCTTAGTACAAAATAAGCCACTACTGAGACAACCATTACTAGGGAAATCATAGAAATCAGAGGCACGTACCCCAATCACCAATATTCTTGGTTTCCTCTTAGGCCCGATTCGCGGGAGCTTTGGAAGTCGAGAGATGTCGAGTGCTCGAGCTATTCCATTGAGTTTAAAGCTCCAACCCAGAAGGTAATGGGTTGATACCACTGCACCCGTAGCTGCTGTGAAGCCAATGGATACAGTTTCATATACGTCCTTTGAAATATCAATGGACCAAGAAAGAATTGGCCTATTCGGTTTACCAACATTCAGGGGAGCAATGGTAACATTCATCTGCTTAGCCCTGTCATCATATTCAACCCAAACTTGTGTTGGCTTTCCACTAACAAGACTCAAGTTACGAAAAGAATTACCATTACCGGTGGCTTCATAGTACCCTGCTAGTTCTGAGACAATGGAATTCAGACCATTTATATCAATCCCTACATGGTTTCCATCGATATCATTGAACTCATGGTTCTGGAGAGTGTCTAGCTCCACCGCCACCACATGGTTGGTGGCGTTTCCACTGTTGGTCTGGTTGAAAAGGCCGAGAAAGGGGCTCGGAAACGCCCCTGGAAGCCCCCCTGCTGGGGAAATCGCAAAGGTCATGCCGTGGCCGGCCAAGATCGAATACGCAGGCACTATGGCAAACACAAAGGTAGTGGAGAAAGAGAAAGCCGAGCCATTTGGTGAGTTCTTAAATAGTTAAATTTGATTGGGAGGGGATAGAGGGCACGACCTTTCTGCAACTGGGTATCGTTGGTTAGCCTCAATAGGCCATTGGATGTCACCTCTGCTATTCCATCTAGGCTCAGATTGGCCGACCGGAAGCCATTGAAGGTGAATCCAATATCTTCACAAGCTGCAAATCTTAGTAGAATAGCGGAGATCACCACCCCCCACGTTACGGCATTCTTTAGACACATGATTGCACTGTCCAAGAGGTCTTCACAAAACTATAAAGTCTACAATTGTTGAATCATCCATCATCATAATAGCTCAGGTGAAAGGCCGTAAAGACCAAGCCTAACACCTGATAGCTGAGATTATTGGGACGGGGCTGGTAAAGGGTTTAAAGGACTAACATCTCCAAAATGTGTGGTTATATAAGAAAATAAAGTTACACATTCTTTATTAGCTATATCTTATTCGTTGGCTCCTTTGATAATTGTATACGTGATTCTATGATTGAGTCTTGATAGAGCCAATGTCTAGGATTTATATTGTGTTTATTTGATAATCTTGATGATCTTGAATCTAATTTTTTTTTTTTTTTAAGCGGGACGCGCGTTTTTAGTCAAAACGACGTCGTTTTTGCAACCGTGTGCACCATACATGGTACACACGGTTACACAACATAATTTGCGGTGGTAATGACCTTGCCAAGGTTGCTGACAAAATATATATATATATTAAAAGTCATTTCAAGAAGACGGTAAAAATAAAAAATATATATATATTTTTAAAAATTATTAAAGAAAATAAAGGAAAAAAAAAAATTTGATTGAGGTAGATCCGCAGAGGAATAACAACTATTCATTTTAAATTGAAAGGTTCTCCATTATATGATAAATTTTCCTTTCCTGTTACAAATGTTTTAAAATTATATTTGTTTCAAATAGATTCTCACGCGCAATTATTACAATCGCAAGCCACGACCACCGGGTAACAAGCGACAGGGGGAGCGGTGCATTCGACCTGAACACAACACGACGTCTCCAATAATGTCTTCTTCGGATCCGTTCTCTCATGACAGTTGCAAGTAGAACACGTTTTGACACCATTGGAGGCTTTCACGACAATATCTCTGAACTTCATCATAGTTGTGTCCACAAATGGCACTAGATCTCTTTTTGGCTTTTCTATCGATGATACGTTGTATGAGGATTTCTCCAACGATTTAGCGCCTGAAATGCATCATTGTGTCACAATTATTCTAGAGCAAATCCCAATTTTGATCCCACGAGTATTAGTAAAATGACAATTCTTGTCTACATGTTTAATTCCTACCAATTTTCATCCATAATTAGTGTTTTATTTTACCAATTTTCATCCACCACTATTATTTTAGTACCAAATTTTGTCACGTCGGTCACCCCTCCATTTAAGATATGTAGAAAACAAAAAAATTTAAGGGCATTTTCGTCATTTTCAAGTTAATATTCCAATTTGAGCATGAATAAAGCGATTTAAGCCCTAAGATCGATTTCAATTTGCAGTTCTCCTCCTCATTCTACTTTAGTTTGAGGAGGAGAATTTACTCTCCTCCTCATTCTACTTTAGTTTGAGGAGGAGAATTGTAAATTGAGATAGATCTTAGGGCTTAAATTTCATTATTAATGCTCAAATTGGGATCTTAATTTGAAAAAAGGACGAAAATACCCTTAATTTCTACATGTCTAAAATGAAGGGGTGACCGGCATGATAATTTTTGCCACTAATATAATAATCGTGGATGGAAATTGGTAAAAATTAAACATGTGGACCAAAACTGTCATTTTGCTAATACTCGTGGGGCCAAAATTAGTATTTGCTCATTATTCTATGTTGCAATATGAATATAATTTAATACTTTTTGCTATTAATAATAAATTTTGTGAATGAAATAATAAATTTGCTCACCTGCAGCAATAACAACCAAGGAGAAGACTAAAATCAACATGGATGATGCGGTTGCCGGATTCATGATCTTTTATATAGATAGAAACTAAGACGTCAAGAGGATAGTGTAGTGAGAGTAGGATGTGGCTTGGGGCATAATGTGTTTTTATAGGGGATTTGTAGTCCATTCATGTCTTAATTTAGATGTATTTCTCAAAAGGTATTAATTTGAGATTTCCTAAAACAATTTTTTCTGATCTCCAAATCAGTTCATATATATATATATATATATATATATATATATATATATATATATATATATATATATATATATATATATATTACTATATTAATAGTCAATATTTTTTTTGAACATTATGCTAATTAATTACCATTTAAGAAAAATTACTATATAGAGTAGGCTTAGTAGGTATATTAATATCTACTAGTAAATTACCCAATGCACGGATTAATTTTTTTATTATATATTTAAATTATAAAATAAAAGGTAAAGTGTACATATATATGACTCATTTTATTGTATTTATTTTATAAAAATCGATATGTAATATGAATTATGAAATAATATTATTATTAAAATAAATTCACTTTCTTTGACGAAGCGGATAGGCGGCGAGTGTTGGAGGAGGGGCCCTGGGCTTTTGAGAATGCAACTTTGATTTGTCAGCCCCTTAATGGTGATGAGCATCCCACGCAGGTAATTTTGAATTCAGCCGATTTATGGGTTCAAGTTTTTGACTTGCCGATTGGCTATCGCACGGAGAAGGTGCTAGAGAAAGTCGGGGATTTTGTAGGGGTATACCTGCAGGTTGATGAGCGTAATTTTACACGGCCATGGTCTACGTTTTATAGAGTGCGGGTGAGACATGATGTTGCTATGCCGTTAAAGCGCCGCATGAAGATGATACTCCGGGATGGTTCGTGGGCGTGGGTGAACTTTAAATATGAACGCTTGCATATGTTCTGTTATTTTTGTGGCAAGCTGGGTCATACGGATAAGTTCTGTTTGGAGGCGAGACGTTCACCATTGAAGCCTGATCAGTGTTTGTATAGGCCGGCGTTGAAGGCGGGGGGGGATGGATCCGGCAAAGGTGTTGGGAGATAGGTTGTTTCACCTGGAACAGGAGCGGCGTCGGGTGATTGGATTTTGGTGGGGCTCCGATTGGGGGAACTCCGGCAGTGGGGACTGTCGGGGTGGTCGGAGGAATTCCGGCAGTGGGGACTACCGGGGTGGTTGGCAGTGGGGTTTCATGCGGGGGTGCCGGATACGGTACGGTGGGGTTGGCAGTAGAGGTGCCGGGGGATGCGGTGGGGATGGAGTTGGGGGTTCGGGTGGATCCAAAGCGGCGTAGGGGTGTGGATGGTGGTGTGGTGGAGGTTGCAAGGGACATGCAGATGGATGCTAATACTTCTCGTTTGGTGGAACCTGGGGATCAGGCCCGCCATTCCCAATGAGTACCTTATTCTGGAACTGCCATGGCTTGGGCAATCCACGGACGGTTCGTGAAGTCGAGGACCTAGTGTCCAAAAGGAAGCCGGATTTTGTGTTTTTGATGGAGACAATGGTAGATGGGAATCAGTCTGAGAGGCATCGTGTTAAGTTGGGTTTTGAGGGGTGTTTCAAGGTGGACAGTGACGGTCGTAGGGGAGGATTGTGTTTTTTGTGGTCGAAAAACAATTTTGCTAGCCTCATCAGTTATTCAGATAATCATATTGATCTTGTGGTGTTTCTTCCGGGGAGGCTACAATGGTGGCTCACGTGTTATTATGGTTATGCGTAGAGGAACAGGAAGAGGGCTTCATGGGATTACTTGAGATCACTTAAGGGGGCTTCTGAGTTACCTTGGGTGGTTTTGGGCGACTTTAATGATTTATTAGCCCAATCGGAGAAGAGGGGAAGATTACCGCACCCGAATGGCTTGATAGAGGGTTTCAGTGAGGCGCTCGAGGATTGTGGATTGTTGTCTCTTCCTATGATTGGTTATCCGTTTACATGGGAACGAGGTAAGGGTACAGTGGACTGGGTGGAAGAGCGGCTTGACAGGGTGGTGGCATGTATGGACTAGCTGGGTTGTTATGATAAGGCGGGGCTGTATAATATTCGTACAGATTCGTCGGATCACTCGGTTCTTTTCCTGGATATTTATTGATCGGTGCACGCTGCTCGGCCTGGTGATTTCCGCTTTGAGAACGCGTGGCTGTTGGATGAGGGGTGTAGGGGAGTGGTGGAGCGGGAATGGGCCGGGTCACAGGGGTTGAATTTGCAGGCTAGGCTTGATTTGTGCGGTAAGGGGCTCAAAGCGTGGGGTGGGGACCGCCATCACAAGTTCGGTAAACGGATTGGTGAGTTAAGGAAGGAAATGGATAAGATACGGGGCAGCCGTGACCCTGTTTCGTTGGCCCAGTTTGTGCAGTTGGACAATAGTCTAAATCTTGCTCTATCTCAGGATGAGGCTTTCTGGAGGCAGCGTGCAAAGCAGCACTGGCTTCAGGGGGCTGATCGAAATACCAAATTCTTTCATAAATTCGCATCCCACCGGAGGAAGAAGAATGTTATTGTGAAATTGAAAGATGATAATGGGGTCTGGAAGGAGGGTAAAGCTTTGGATTCTCTGGTCACTACATACTATAAGCAAATTTTTGCATCTGGGGGGTATCCAGGGACTTTCAGTGTTGATTCTATGCAAACACATGTGTCCGAAGCCCAGAATGCCCATCTGTTACACCCGTTTGAGCCGGAGGAAGTCCAGGCTGCATTATTCTCTATGGGCAAGGATAAATCCCCGGGGCCGGATGGCATGAATCCCAGTTTTTACCAAGCATTCTGGGATGTTATTGGTAAGGATGTCACTTCCTTTGTGCTTAATTTTCTTTCTCAGCCATCTTTTCCTGTATGTTTGAATGATGCAAATATTGTCTTTGATCCCTAAAAAATGTGCCCCTGAGCGTGTGTCTGATTTACGACCAATTGCGTTGTGCAATGTTTTGTATAAGGTTATGGCTAAGATGGTGGCAAACCGTATGAAACCTTTGTTGGAAGGTATTATTTCGGAATCGCAAAGTGCATTTCTCCCAGGTAGGTTGATCTCGGACAATATTCTAATTGCTTCTGAGGTGGGCCATTACTTGAGAAGGAAACAGCTAGTCCAGGTGGGGTGGGCCGCTCTAAAGCTTGATATGGCCAAGGCATATGATAGGATGGAGTGGTCATTTGTGAGGGACATGTTAATGGGTTTGGGTTTTGATGCTAAATGGGTTCAGTTGATTATGATGTGTGTCCAAACGGTGCGGTATAGAGTTTTGGTAAATGGTAGGCCTACGGAGGAAATTGTGCCTACAAGGGAGTTACGGCAGGGGAATCCTTTGTCTCCTTACTTGTTTATCATTTATGCAGAAGGGTTATCTTTGCTTTTGCAGGATTTTCAGGCTAAGGGTCTTATTCATGGATGCAGGGTGGCCCGGGGGGCACCTCCCATTTCTCATTTGTTTTTTGCAGATGACAGCATGCTCTTCTTTAAAGCTAATCTGCACGAAACGATGGAGGTGAAGAAGTGTATGAGTGTCTATGAGTCTTTCTCTGGCCAGGCGGTGAACTTCCATAAGTCCAATGTCTCATTTAGCCGCAATACTCACGAGGGGACGCGAGAACTCGTTTCGGGGGCCTTGGCAGTCGCACAAGCTGAGGATTTTGGGAAATACCTGGGGTTGCCATCTGTTGTTAGCAGGAACAGGAGGGCGGTTCTTGCTTATGTTGAGCAAAAGCTGAGGCAGAGGTTTGGATCGTGGAATAAAAGGTTACTGTCTAAGGCAGGGAAGGAGGTCCTTTTGAAAAGTGTAGCACAAGTCATGCCGACTTATACAATGAGTATTTTCCTACTCCCGACTTCTTTTATGTATTTCATTGGAGAGGCTAATGAACAGGTATTGGTGGGGACGGAGTGGTGATGACGGAAGCATTCATTGGTTAGCTTGGGATAGGATGTGTAAACCCAAGAAGTTTGGAGGAATGGGTTTCAAGCGATTGCACGAGTTTAACCTGGCCCTGTTGGGCAAGCAAGGATGGCGGCTACTTACTAATCTCAACTCCTTAATGGCACGTGTTTTTAAGGCAAGGTATTTCCCGACTACTTCCTTTTATGAGGCTGTTATGGGTGGTAATCCTAGCTACGTTTGGAGGAGCATTATGGCCAGTCTGGATTTGTTAAAATCCGGCTGCAGGCGCAGAATTGGCAATGGAAGATCTACTCAGGTTTGGACAATTCCTTGGCTACCAGATGCCCAAAACCCTTATGTTGAATCTGAACAAGTGAATAATGGCCAGGCTATGTTAGTCTCGGATCTGATTGATGCCCACACGGGAAGTTGGAATGGTGGTTATTTACAACAGTTGTTTAATCCACAGGATGCAATGCTTATATCACGGCTATAGAAGGTTGGGTTTTGTAAATTCACAGCCTTCTCCTGTGTGGAATAATGTTTGGAAGTTACAGGTTCCCCCCAAGTGGAAGGTGTTTCTATGGAGAGCCCTTTTGAATATATTGCCCTCGCTTGATAATTTGATAAATAGGAGGGTGGACCTAGTTAATATTTGCCCGTCATGTGGCTTATACGAGGAATGTGTTTTGCATATTTTTTGTTCGTGCCCTTATGCTGTCAATGTTTGGTATATGTCTCAAATTCATATCCCCTCTTTTGCCAACAGGAGTTTTTTGCAATGGACGGAGGAGTGGCTCGGTGGTGCAACAAGTTTTAGTATTGATGTACAAGGCCAAATATGTGGTTTACTCCATGCTATTTGGTCCGCTAGGAACATGGCAGTGTAGGAAGGTAGCTTGCCGACGCCACTCTTGCTGCTTCGACGCCATGCGGCGTCCTGGACCGCTTGGAAGAATTGTGAACAGCGCCGAATTGAAGCTTGTAGTAGACTCACTGTACAGCACTCCACGGCAGCAGCTGCTTAGTCCACACATGCAGCGGCGGCTTTCCATTGCTTCGTGGATGCCGGTTTCCACGGTACACATCATGCACCGACTTATGGCTTTGTGGTATTGGATGGAGATTCCTCTTTTGTAACAGCGGCAAATGGTCCTTTGGTGT